AGTGTCTGTCAAATGCTGGTTGCCATCTAGTGGGCGAACTGTCACAGGTCGCTCAAATGAATGCATATATGACAATTACACAGGAGTTAGATAAATGTGTGGAATATAATAAAGCACGTACTGCATCAGTTAAGCTCATGTGTGTTTGGATTCACATTATTCACCAGCATTGCAACTGCATTGAGATTATTTCCAAAGGATCTACATTTGTACTTATTCCATGTTTACCGACACTGATACACTGTATTTATTATTATTTTTCATTTGACCACTGAAAAGAGCCGTGAGGTTCAAACAGAGAGCAGCGTTGCTCATGCTATGAACTAATAAATGAATAAACAATGCAATGCAAGGACCAAAGAAGTTTGGTCCTTGCATTGCCCCACACAAGACTGCAAATGACTTTGTTGAAAACCCCGTATTTGATTTAAAAATAAATACATAAATACACTTTTTCTGAGGTCTTTTTCTCTGATCGCCTCCAGCACTGTGCAAACTTGTGATAGACAAACACACTCAGGTGACTCGTTAAGAGAATCAGTGTTATAGGCAGTTTAATGATATTAACAGTAGAGCTAACCGAGATCCAGTGTAACACGAGTTGATAGGAACACATGTGTTACTGATGGGCCTGTGGGATACACAAGACACAAAAGTTGGCAAACAGGTCTAGACTAATGGGTAAAAAAAATTCATAAATACAGATGCTGTCACCCATGAGAACTCCCAAGTCTGCAAGTCGAAATGAATCTAATTAGACAACCAATTAATTTCTTCTGCTCTTTATGTGCAGAAGGTGAACGGATGACTTGAACATCAGTATTAGTAGCATCGACACGTTTCAATAAACGTGGCCTACAGTACAAGGACACATGCATCTTCAATCAACAGCGTTGCATGTCAAGCAGTAGTGGCTGAAGGAACATCAAACTACACCAAACCCCGTCACATCTGAACCTGCACACACACACCATCGGTATTCTAGCCTGAATATCACATCAGCTAACTTCTACGTTTCCTAGTGTTGTTATTCGTGGCACATATAAACGCTAAAACTGTAGTGAAGGCTGAATCTTGCAAAAATCTGTTAAGAACATGTCCAGGTCACAATTCAGCACAAAAACTAAAAAATGCTCAAAGAAAATGAATTCATTTATATAATTTTATAGTCATTTTTAAATATCATTTTATTTTTACCTTTATTTATCCAGGCAAGTCACTTAAGAGCAAAATTCTTATTTACAACAATTTATTTGCTTCGTTTGATTATCATTGTGAGATTATTTTCATGAAAAGTAAGCATTTATCCCATATTCTCATTATAAAAATACATGAAAATCATGAAAATGATGTAAAAAAAATAATAATTACATTTTGGGTGGTGAAATGTGACTTTGACGTGGTCCGGGCAAGTTTTCTTAAGATTCTCCATAATCAGCACACAACCTGCTCACAAACTCTGGGAAGGATTTGGCTATAAACTCTGGCATCAGCAAGTTGCCCATCATTCATAATCATGTGCGCTGCATCAGTAGAATAAATACACAATCATAATGTAGTTGTGAGGGCATAATAAAGAAACCTCAAGTACCCTTTAACAATATACAATTAGTTGTGCTTCTAATTGCATTAAACAGACATTGTTCCCTTTAGTCAAAACAAAAATATCTAAAATAAATCTCTCATGTACATATTTAAATAAGTGCCAGCCGTTAATAGGGGTTTATTGTGTATGAAAGCTTGTTTCCACCACAGAATAAAACACAAAAAGGTCATTGTGACTTTATTGCAATTCTGAATTTACATCTCACAATTCAGATTTTTTTTTTCCTTGCAATTCGGAGAAAGAAAAAAAATCGGAATTGTGAGATAACGCGTTTATAACTTGCATTAGTGATATACTGTATACAGTAAATTCGCAATTGTGAGAAAGTCAGAATTAGCTTATTTTTTATTCCATGGTGGAAACAATTTCCATAATTATGTGCTGCTGACTAAATAAAGAACTCTATTTGACCCTTAGCCCTGCATGGTCCAAAACTGTGCATGTCTGCTGCATATGGATCAGGTGCATTCTTTGGACTTATTATATAAAAAATATTAGGTTTTCTCAATAATGAGGTTGGGAGCTGCAGGTTTTGCATAGTCCAGTCTCTGTCCGTTTGGGAAGGCTTAGGAAACTCAGAGGCACCGAGTGTTCTTTGAAGTGTCCTAGAGACCCAGAGCGGACAGGATTGACAACAGTCTTTATTGTGGAAAGTGCTGTCTGTGCTACATGGGACTGGTGTTTTGTGTCTGGTCTGTGCTCTGTTGCTTGTATATGAAGGTCAGGAGGAACAGGGCGACGTCATGGGACGTCCAGTAGGCCGTGTGTGAGGTGACAGCTGACCAATAGCGGCTCTCCACCAAACCCTCCCGAAGCTCATAGTCAATGCGATGCTCCATCTCAACTGTGACACACACAACAAGCAATCAGTATCAGAGTTCAACAGAAAGAAAGAAAGTCAAACAGGTTTGGAACAAGGGGTTGGTAAGGTTTAATGTTTTTAAATGAAATGCTCACCAAGGCTGCATTTATTTAATCAAAAATACAGTAAAAACTGTAATATTGTGGAATATTATTACAATTGTAAAATAGCTGTTTTCTATGTGAATATCAGTTAAACTGTGATATATTTCTGTGATGCGCAGCTGTATTTTCAGCATCATTCCTCCAGTCTTCAGTGTCACATGATCTTCAGAAATCAGTATAATGCGCTGATTTATTAGAAACATTTCTGATTATTATCAACGTTGAAAACAGTCGTGCTGCACAATATTTCT